TATTAACCGGATATATATCGATTACTATCACAATCGATAGAACCCAACAGGGGGATTATTATCAATATATATCCACATAGATATTAATCGATATATATCGGTCTATATTTTTTGCTGATAATTTTCTTGATAAGTAAACCTAAATAGTTCGAACAAATTTAATAACTATGAACCTTAAATTTGCGTATTTGTTTTCAAAAAAAAATTTCTTTCCTCAAGTAATTAATTTCATTTAATACTATATTCACCTTGTGCTATTATTATTTAGTAGTTTGAGAAATGAGATTACATAATCAGAATCAGTTTCACTTTTTTGAACCCACCAGAAGGCGCAACAACAACACGTAATTAGTATCAGCTTACTGTGCCACACATTCACTAAGACTTGGTTCGGAGTTTCACTCAAACCCATTTGCAAAAATTTTTCTCTCCGCTAGGTTCTTAAAATATTAGTGTTAAATTTAAAATGTAAGTTTTAAATATAATTTTTTAAGAGAAAGGTAGAGACATGTCAGTCAATCGATATTGTGATCTGTATAACATATGATGAGTTTCACGTTAAAAGCATAGTACTGTGGTTGTTCCAAAACGCATATTTTGAAATTAATAACTATCGCTATAATGTCGACGACAGACTTAACCAACGATCCTTCTGCAACTATGTCTTACAAGAGTTTTTTCTCTTACAAAAACGATAACATAAATATTATCTACGCTGACAATAATATCCAAATAAGGATTGAAAGAGTTACTAGTGATGTAGCGAGTGTGTATTTCATAAACAACCGAGGTCATCAAATTTAAGTTCCAGCTAATACTATTCTTAGGAATACAACCAACAATCAAAATGAATCAATTCATAATAACAGTTTTTATATTACTTGGGTTCCTAACTATATTCTGTTTCATAATGGTGCCAAGATTTTTAGACTAAAAAATCAAAAACAACAAGCAATCAAGGGAGCAATAGATCTTGAGACAGATGTGATCCAGCAATAGTTTACGAGTTTATTAGAAAATAAATATATTATCTCAAATATATGTTTTTTTTTCAGCTTCATGTAATTTCTTACATGTTTTTCATTTTACAACTTTGTAATACTTAGGCACAGTGCCTTCATCACTTACATGACATTCTTATCTTTACTAATAATCATAAAGGATAGTTAATACAATCAGGCATATTACCAAAAATGAGCAATGTAGATTACCCCTTTTATAGTATAAAAACGCAGATCGGATGATTCGATTACACAAATCAAAAGCTGAGTTATATCTCAGAAGCTGAGTTATATGTTCATAAGCTAATCAAATTGTAAATTTTGAATAGTAAAACATAACCTTTTTTCGGGTCTTATACACTTTTGCTCAAAGTGTAGATCTAGAAAAGATCACTACGGATCATGAAACTATGAACGTTTTGCTTTTCGTTTATAAATTTTTTTGTCGCAAACATATATGGCAAAAAGCCACAAAATGTAATCAAAAAATGTAGCTGTAAGCCAATCAAAATTAAATAGAACGATCTAGAATCGATTTCTATTTTTGGTAATGTGCTTGACTATAATAAGCATTATTAAGCTAGATCTGCTAAAAATAAAGAATACATGGGACATCTTTTATTTCATAAAAAATATTGCAATTACATTATGCGAATAAAAAAAATTATATTCATTTTTTGTCTAACATTTTTAAAGATCATCTTTAAAAATGTTAGACAAAAAATGAATATAATTTTTTTTATTCGCATAATGTAATTGCAATATTTTTTATACAATACATGGTACCAAAATGTGTTTAAATATACTGATTCAGATGCTAAATGTTCAATACAGGATTATATAATATTATTCAGACTATATATATAGAGATATCTAGATTATATAGTGATATTTGGATTATATAGTGATATCTAGATTATATAATGATACTATAATCTAATCTAAGTGGGATACCACTTATAATATATATTATAGATAGTACCCCACTAAAGGCAAAAAAGCAAAATAGTACTAGAAAATGAAAAAAACAGATCAGAAGGCTTAAATTCTTGGATTGATTTATATCAGCCAATCAGACAAATTTCTGTCTATGAATTTACGAGGGTTATAGCTAGAGTTAACACTTTACTATGTTTTTATATCCAGATTTATTTTATATCTGGATATATCCGGATATAATTACTATGTTTTATTATAAATTTTTAACAAAATATCAATCCGGATATATTTATATCCGGATTGAAGTATTAACTCTAGTTATAGCGATAGGTAAAATTGCCTCCTCAATATTTTTTATTAATAAGGGATAGCTACAATCTCACAATTTGATTGGTCGGTCATCTGTCGATCATCAAAAACTCGTTACGCCCCCGAATTAAGTGAAAATTTCTACTCTTTAAGGTTAGCAAAGAATTTTTTTATTAAAACGCATCAATTTCATAGACAAAATTCAAAATACGTGATTTTCATGTTATACCTAGGGATGGCAAATATTTTAAAACACGATCTTAAAAATCTCGATTGTTTGATTTTTAATTGATTAAAAATGTTTTAAAACATTATAACGTAATCATCATAATAAATAAATTAAATTATACAATTTGATTTTATTAAATAAATAAAATTACACAATAACGATTTTACTATTAAATAAATAAAATTATGCAATTCGATTTTATTATTAAATAGTATTTTACCATTACTAATATTAAAAAAAAACACAAATAAAATTACCTTGAATAATTATGTCTCGTGGAAGACCTCTGTTGAAAGAAATTCATTCAAACTTCACAAAAATTACAGAAATTGACAAGCATGGTCGAATGACACCACGTCAAAAATATAACTACTGCGAAGAAGATGTTGTTGATTTAATTGGCCAATTAAAAGAACATTTAAATAAGTGTAAAAAGCTTCCAAAAAATATAAGAAATTCGCCGAACCTCCAAGATTCTAGTTCTACAAT